TTTATGAATACGAAGGTATAAAAATATATAAAATATGCAAATATATGTAATTCAGAGCCCGAATCTATTTATTATTCCTAGAGAGAGATAGAATAGGTTAATTCGAATTATTCTAGAAATAACAGGAAAGAGAGAAACACATCAAAAGGTAATTTAGAAACAAAACCTATTGGATTAAAGAAGTTTGGAGAAACTACGAGGCAATATAATTTTGAAGTTTCATCTCTTTGGAAGAATATATTGGAAGACATTTTTCTTAAGAGAATCGATAGCATATCTCTTTTACGTGGTGGAAGCACATGGCTGAACTTCAGAATTTGATCGAATATTTGAATTTACAGTAGAGTCTCACTTGATATAACCACCCCTCGAGATAGACTGAACGTCCTTATCGTATCCTTCAAGAGATGTTTTTTCAATATCTATCAAAATGAAATCTCTTCGTTTACAAATGTATCTATCAAAAAATAATCTCAACGTTTATATATGTATTATAACTATGAATCTATTTCTTTCATATTTTAAGACAAAGGTCAATCTATATAGCATATTGTCGGGTTATTTATCTAATTAGTACATAACATTTTATGCTTACTATGGTAACCTAACTTCTCTCGTAGGAATTTATGTAATTAAGGTTTTTCTCCCTACTGATGAAGGCTATAGCCTAAAACAATGAAATAGTTTGTGTTTGTCTTAATTTGTTAAAAATCATGTTATGGCACATTCTTTATTATCACTTATGTTTTCAGCACTAGTGTGAACAAATACATTTTAAATCATAAATAAAGGTAAAGAGTGTTATATATAGTTTTCATTAAATATTACTGTTCATACAACATTAAAGTAACCCTCTGCTACCCATTTCAAATATTTATAACTTAATATTTGTTTACATGTTAATAGAAGAGAGAGATATTTTATAAATTTATTTTGAAAAATTATAATTTTATCCAAAAAAAATTCATTTATAATATACCCTTTCAAAGTTACTACAGTGGGACAATTAAAGGTCAGAATCAACGTATAAAAGATCAATGCAATATATTTTTGAAAAATTTACATGAATCTAATTTTTGAAAAGGAATTATCTCTTCTATATTTATCATTTTGTAATCCTCATTTAAATATATAACTATTGTAATTTGCTTTCTTGTACACACAGTTGTATGCCATTTTAAGTTATAATAGAACTTTATTAAATAGTTTTTTTATTTCTAAACTCAGCATATTTTACAAAAGTAATGAAAATTTTGAATTTATTAAATATATATACCTTTGATTATTTCTAAAATATACTTTAAATTGTCATCTAAACTTGAAGATATAGGTTTATATACTTACATGGCCTGAATTCATAGTTCTTTAAGAAATTATTGGTATTATTGAATAGAGTAACTTCACTTTTCCATATTTTTAGGTTAATTGTACCTTTATAAACTCAAATGAACCGAACCTCACTTGACGTTACATTTCAGCTGAATCATAATTCAGTAGAATATCAACATTGTTCACTATTCTAGTACTATTTTTGATCGCTAAAAATGAACATAAGCACAATTTTCCTTTCGCCTGAAATATTATTAGTATAAATTATAAAATAATGTGTTTTCTCGAATATATAAGAGATTCATATAATTATAGGTATAATATTTCAAAGACAGTATACACAAGATATCAAAACACTCTTTCTAGTTATTTTAAGTCATTTAGTCATTACCATTTAACAAAAACTAAATTGAAACACAGTAATTAGGCAACCCAATTTCACTTACGCAAACATAACGTGCATTATTATTCTAAGGTTGAAAACGGAATCAAATTGCATAAGGCTCTTGTTGTGAATTGAGCTTTTAGACCAAAGAGCCCAATCCTTCCTCATGCACACAAAGCAAACACACACACCCTGGAATAATTAATTTACCTTATTTATAACGTAGAAAAAACAAAGTTAAAAGACTTAGACTATCCATTAACTTACTAATTAGATGCTCACCAATATTAATTAATTTTACAAACTCCATATTACACCTTGCAATTAATTTTCCTGGTAGTTTTCCTAGTTTTGGATTCAACTTTGTATCTGATTTTGTTTATAGAGTATATATATATATAACTTTCCCTATCTATTAAAATTACATTTTTTATTATCTAGAAACTAGTTTTAAAATTCTGAACTATGTTAATTTATTTGAACATCTATCAATCTATTTGTTTATTTATGTATATGCAAATATATAAGATATATTGCATATATATGCTATTTTCTATATGTGTTATTATGCATTCATGATATATATAATATATATAGCAATTTTTCACCCTATCTACATTTTGTTTACATATCTCTTTATACAACAACAACAACAAAAGCCTTTATTGAGGACCTCTCGTCCTATAAAGAATTTGCCAGTTTACAAAGTACTTGAAGAGAAGAGAACCAATAATACAGAGAGAAAACTATATGTAGTAGGTATAGTATTGTATTTGCTACACTGTAACTATATACAACAGAAGTAACAAGCCTTTTACTGGGATCAAAGTCCCATACAGGATTCGTTATTCTAATCCTGACAAAGATTATTTACATATAATTATTTACATCAATTAGATTATGTATATAGCTTTCCCTTCTCTTCAGCCGTCTTCCAAAATTTGAACAACGCAAACGCTCCAGCTCTGTTTCTTACCACCTCATTCAACAGGAACTCCAAAGAGAGTCCCTCAAGGCCTATTTCACTGAGGAGCACTTCTCGTTCTTCTTTCAACCCCATACATGAGAGTATATGGTGATGTAGCCCCGGCTCCATTCTTGCCCCGCAAATCTCGCATGTCCATCCGTCTGTTTTAAATATTCTGGGGCGATCATCAGTAAAGAACACTGAGAGAATTCTCAGACCGGCAATACATCGTTTGACCCGGAGCGGGAAATCGCTGGACAGATAGTGTTCCAGTAACGGAGTTGAGCAGATGTTTTTATAGTGGGGGTATAGTCTTGAATTTATTATTCTTGTGTGATCCTTTTGCAGATATTGATCTATTGCAGTCCTGATTATGTAGGGAATTTCTCTTTGTAATGTTCTATAGTACATATCTGTTTATTGGTTTATATATATGTGTTATATTAAAATATTATTTTATTTACACAATTATATTTCATAGATTCAAATACTCTGCTAAATCGACCGCCAGAGGTCGTCGTTTTTACTATAAAAACTAATTGTTGTTGTTTTCCGATGGCCGCTCAAATCCTTTGTACATTATGTAAATCAATTTTCATTTTTTAGATTCTTACGCCTTAATCCAGGTTTTACTTTTATCAAATTATGTTCTTTTAATATATATTAGTTTAGTTCAATTAGAGCAATCTCTGATCAAAACTATTTTCTTTAATATAATTCTGTTACCACGACTGCAAAACAATATCACATACTCATTAATTCCGGGATCAAGCAAATGACGAATAATTCCTCTACAATAATTAATCACATAACAATAGAAATATCTTTGTTATAACATATATATATAGATATATATAGATATATCTATATATATATACGGTTTTGATATATTTACTATTAATATATATATATTGATATTTAATTAAAAAGGCATATATCGGATCAAAATATCATTTATTTCACAAATATTTCAGTTGGCTGAACGCCAACCTTTATCAAGGTGTTATAACATTTTAAAGTGTGTCAACAACAAACTCAGCGCCACATCTTGTTTGTTGTTGACACACTTTAAAATGTTATAACACCTTGATAAAGGTTGGCATTCAGCCAACTGAAATATTGGTAAAATAAATGATATTTTGATCCAATATATGCCTTTTTAATTAAAGATTCATCTATGGATTGCTCTATTTCCAAAAATATATTGATATATTAGTTTAATTTTCTTATGAATTTATTGCCATATATTGCTAATATTATAAATATATTTTCAATTATTTCTAACAAAATCTTTTTTTACACACTGTATACTTCTCTGAATGAAATTTGAAATCAATTATATAATAGACCCTCGTTTATCTTCTATGAATTATATGTATCAAAAAGTTAGCGTGTTAATATTACATGTAATATTCATATATTTACTAACATAACTTTTTTATTTTTGCATTTATTCATACCTCTTTACATATATCTTTTTTAGTTTATTAGGAAAAATTCGATTTTAGTAAGGACCTTTTTTGAAAAAGTCCTTTTATAATTTATGAATATTTAATGATTTTGCAAATTTGAGACAATATTGTAAAAGTTAAATATAATATATTTAAGAGTAAATAACAAAATTAGGAGTTTATCCTCGATATTTCGACATTTAATGATTATATTTCGAATAATAAATTTTAAATCTACAAATATTAAAATAGTTATCCCTCAAATTATTATATTAAATTTTTAATTATTCGATATTGATATTTGAATGTTTTTATAACAAATCAAGATCAGATCCTTTGTTGAAAAGCGTTTATCTCTTTGAAGCTATCATTCTAAAAAGAAAATAAAAATGCATTGTTTGAGAAGATTCTCTCTCTCTTCCCTTTTTAGTTTTTAAGATTTTTATAAACCAACAAAAATATAAATGTCTCAAAATAAAATAGAAAACGTATTGGTTGATATCTTTAATTATTGATGTCGAATTCGTCTTTAATAAAAGTCAAATAGAAACATAAATCAATTTATAAAACACTTAAAGTTGCACCGCATAAGTTTCTTTTCTGTGAAAAATCAATATTTATTTCAAAGAAAAATATTTACTATTTCTAACTTTTTTTTTGGATGAAGTATGAAAGGGTGAAAATATGAAGAGTAATGGCGAACGGAAAAATAAAAGTGTCCAGGGGCGGGAATCGAACCCACAACCTTCCGCTTCCCGGGCAGATGCCATGTCCACTAGGCTACCCTGGACGTATTTTTCCGTTCGTAAATAATACTTAAAGTAACTTTAATATTACTCTAAGTATTATTTACGAACGGAAATATACGTCCAGGGTAGCCTAGTGGACATGGCATCTGCCCGGTAAGCGGAAGGTTGTGGGTTCGATTCCCGCCCCTGGACACTTTTATTTTTCCGTTCGCCATTACAATTCATATTTTCACCATTTCATACTTCATCCAAAAAAAAGTTAGAAATAGTAAATATTTCTCTTTGAAATAAATATTTATTTTTCACAGAAAAGAAACTTATGCGGTGCAACTTTAAGTGTTTTATAATCATACGCCTTTATAATGAATAAATCAATTTCTTATATAAACTTTACATTTATCTAACTTCATATATATATTTATCTCACGAGTAAACATTAATATGTATTAACCCAAGAACAAGCATTCTTTATAAATAATAGAAAGTATTTATTAACAAGAAATATAAGGTTTAAATGAAGCTAACTTTGTATAATTGCTTGTGACCTGCAATAAGCAGCAATGTAACAAGGTAAACCTATCTTCCCCTCAGTACTAGAATTCTATTGGGAAGCTCAAGTTACTATTTTATCAAATCACATATACAAAAAGTCAAAAAAGTGTAAAAGGTCAAATCTTTAAATTTGAGATAAACAAATTTATTTATTACGTCTCTATAATTTATTGATTAACACTAAACAAGTTTTGTTATTTCATATCAAATTAGGTCAAACTATAATAATAAATTAAAGACGAACAGCAATGTGCGTATTTTTAATATGAAAATGTTCAATGTTCATTAATATATATGAAAATTTATTATCATAAATCAAATTTATTAATATTTATTTTGAAGTATATTTTAATTATAATGGTATGTTTTTGGAATATCTATTTTTTAAGACTCTTAACCTAATTCCATGCGTATATTTAAAAAAATAAAGACTTCATATGTGATTTCTGTATTGATTGAATATTGAAAGGGTCTGGATCATCTTTAGTGAGGCTTCTACCAGCGTTTTTGCCAGTTTAATCCCTAATTGTTTAGGAATTAAGATGTGATTGTGAAAACATATTCTGTTGCAAAACTAATTCATAGATTGCTTTCTCAATAATAATTTATTGATGATATTATTAATGATAATTGCTTTTAATCACCGTTCATAATATTGAGCGGAATTTATATTTTAAAAGAGAGATAGAAATAGAGAAAATATAAATTGAATATACTCTTATTAATTGTACATATAAGATTATATAGGGTTAAGAGGAAAAAGTAAAATTAAATATTATTTTCTAAGCAGAATCTCACAGAGGGTCGTCTAGTATGATGTCATATTCCGCCCTGAAGTTAGACAGCGTTCCGCGTAGATCGGACTTCTCCCCGACATGTGCTATTGCCATGTCAAAGAAGAGCTTCAGAGCAGTCTGAGAGAGAGAAGCGCTTTTTCAATATCTTCAAATTAAATGGATATTTCTTCAAATAGTACGAAGTTATTTTTTAATAATATTGTTTTGTTCGCTTTAAATAGTAATTTAAAATGCCTTTAAGATAAAGAAAAAATCATGTCGAACCAACGACTAGTACAATAATTTATATTTTCAAAGTATTTCGATTGTGACAATACAGTTTGCATGTGACAGAGAAATATTATGGTTTTTAAATCGTAAAATCCTACTGTGAAAGTAAAGTCTGCTAAGTGCTTATCCAAAATCTATCACAGAAAATATTACGGTTACACAAAAATAATCAAAAACCTTTTAAATATTGAGTTAGAGTGGGTCGCGTTAATTATATCAGATAAATGTTTTCTATTCTAAGATGTAGGTGATGCTAAATCAAGGCGCTCTTTATTGACCGTCTCCGCATATTAGCGGACTCAGGCCATTGACAAAACCACAAAAACAGCTTTGGAAAACTGAGAAGCCTCCACCTGTAGACCATTGATTCGGGCTGATTGCCATCTTCACCCAAGGAAAAGGTTTGATTTTATTAGAATCACAAGGCACCAAATGAAATCTTCACGATTTCCTAAAGAGTTGTTTATATGGAAAAGTAGTTAAGTCGAATCTATGGCTAAAATAAAGATTCACTCTGAGAATATATATATTTAGCAATAGATATAGCCAAGTTACATTTACCAGCTGAGCACCTTTTTGGACATATGTAAAGATTCATTTTGTTCCCTTGTAAGTTTCATTGAACAAAAACCCGCTCTTCACTAAGAAGGGCTATCAACCCAGAACCATGATCTCCAAGAGGGGCATTTTTTAGTTCAGAAAAGATGGCGTTGTAGCTTTGTTACCGAAAAGAGAATTCTACTTCTCTCGTATTATCTTTAATTAATACTAATGATAGAGAAGATTTATTCGAGAAAATAAGCATTTATAATTTAAATATTGATCTAAATACAATTTAAATATTTAAAATATTATAATGGAGATATTGGAGATCATGGAAAAATAGATTGATAATAAAAATAAGGGTCACATAAATGAAAATGAGGAAAGCGAGACGGAACTTTTTTGTGAAAAAAGAATGGCGTTCAATGTTTAAAAAATTAATTGTTCTCTGACCTGCATGGTAAGCAAATGTCTTTTTTTCATATCACTTCATTATTTCAAAAATGTGTTTATAAAATTAGAGTGGACCAAGATATTTTAAAATTAAAACAAATCGGTAAACCTAATAGTACATTAAATTTATTATAAAAATATTATGATTAAGATCTATATAACGCTAAAATATCTGATCTGATAATGTTTAAATTTAGATCACACACTAATTTCTGGTTTACCTTTTTAAAAGGTATCAAGGTAGATTAATTTTAAGATCATAAAAAGGTATTTAATTATAGAGGTAAATCAAGTTCATTAATGAAATATTCCAAACTTGTTTAACGAGAACAAGCTAAATTGTATTAAAATTTTCAGAATATTGATTACAATCCCTGAACTAATGAATGTTATAAATATGTAATAATGAAGTTAAGAGTTACTAATCCCCGTAGCAATCAAGTAGAAGAAGGTATTTAGCGTAAAGTTGTTAACAACCCAAGATAAACAGAGCATAAAAACCTTTTTATGGAGATCAGAGCCTCGGAGGTTTTTAACGAAGAGGTGTGAAGGCTGGATGAGTTAATTTACTCAACAAAGCGACATAATCTCTGTCCCAGTGACGGTATAATTAACAGTTGGCGACATTATATATTAAGGCAGGTTGTCATCCGCTCCTTCATTACCTCCATTAAAACTGTGTCGGGGCTACCAATTAATCTTTCCTTCTACTGAGTATCCTCTTTATAAATATAGCTTATATTGCCTCGGGCGTAGTCATTTCACTCTCTAATCAACCTATTTAAAACCTTCCATAACTTAGTTGCTCCTTTCTATAAATTTAGAGATATATTTATTATTAAAGACTATAATTTATATATATTATAAGCTCATGTCCATAGTTCACTAAACACCCCTAAGCTGCCTACCATAGAAAATACAGGGTATACTCCAAACCAATCCAATACAATAGTAGAGCGGTCTAGAGATTAATTTGGCGAAACCGCTGAGAGGGTTCACTACTGATGAGCCAAGCCCTCTCATTCAATAACTCATATCATTGCAGAAAGGTCTGTAGAGATAATATTTGATGATATTCAAAAGAAACGCATTGCCAGTAAATATTTATAAATTTATTGAAGTGCACATTTGTAAAATACAAACATTTAGGAGCATTACGGTATCATTTATATGTAAAGAAGTGATAAACATACTAAAAGAAAGTAAATGTTATTTATGTTACATAGATCATATATGATGAAAAAATAATTTGAAAAGGAGTTTATTTGTTTATAATTTGTCATATATATAAACATGTTTATATTGTATTATATTAAGGGATACCGAGAAGGTATTGGAATAACAAGGCAAGTTGAACAAAATTTATCATGAAAGTGTTTCCTTGGTAACTCTTCAACGTTTCTGAATGAATATTTAAAATATATGTTTGAATTCACGATATATTTGGTGAAGAAAAATATACACAAACATTCTGAATGATATAATATCATTACAGCAAAGGGATTAAAAATTAAACATATATTGAATAAAATATATTTAAGTAACCAAAATTAAGATTGGTGAATATATGGCCAACATTTATCAATATAAAACGACTTATAATACAATATAATACGGCTTGTGATTGTAAAACGACATTTGAAAATCATCCCGCATTCCCATCCCTGGACATTTTATTTTTCCGTTTATCATTACTATTCACAATTCATCCTTTCATACCTCATCCCTAGGGTTAGAAATAATCGTTATTTCTCATTGGAATAAATTTTGATTTTTCGTTGAAAAGAAACTCATGCGGGATGATTTCCAAATGTCGTTTTATAAAACGATTTATTTATTTTTATAGTTAAGACTAATGGACCTATATATAAATAGTTGGAAAATATTTATTCTATATTCAACAATTCATTAATTCATAAATTTGGATTCATATTTATATACTTACATGAAACGCAGGCTCCAAGGATGAGTTTCCTTTTTTATTAAATAAATTATCGAGTTTTCGTGTAGTGTCAACCCGTATACAGGAGTATATAAACGAAAACATATATTTATTGTAGAAAAATCACTAGAATCAATAATGTTTGTATTGGTGAATAATGGAAAGTATTACAAAATTCTGTTAACAAAGGATTGAAAGAGAAAATCTGAGAGAGCTTCAAGAAAGCTAATCCCAAAAAACCCCTAGGAAATAAACTTGGGTAAATTTGATTTGTCGTGACATTGGCTTATTCCAGACGAACAAAATATTTTATCGATTTTCGATAGGTGCTGTCTTTTGTTTACTAATGAACTGATATTAATGTATTAATGGTGTGTTTCTCCAGGACGACATGTCTTGAATTCTGACTTGACACCGAGAACCTTCTGGGGTGAGTATTCTCTCTTTACACCGAATATATTAACCCGAATATATATTTTTTCGAATATATTTAACACAAATATTTGAAATTTATTTTTCTTAGATATAATATTGTTAGGTATTTTATTTGTATTTACATAATTTTAGGTTTGATTATTTGTTCATGTTTATTTTCATATTGGGGTTTATTAAGATTCTTTTATGAATCGTGTTTG